CAACCATCTGAAATCATATCAGAATCCATATGCTCCTATGTTCTCATTTTTCTTTTGTATCTGCTGGTTGAGTAAGGAAGAAAGAAAAAAAGACATTGATTTTCTCTTGGGGGTAATTTCCTATCTCTATGCTGCTTCTCTCCTAATCTCTCTAATGTTGTTGCAGGAGTGGTGCTATGTACATTTAAAACATTCGATGGATACACTTGGATTTTTTTTACTACAATAGAAAGTGTCACACCCCGAACCAGACGGCGGAAACGTCCGGGGGCTCGTGTGACTAACAATTGAATTATCATTACAGTGAATATAAATGAAACATAACATCATCATCACCATGCATAATTTAATACAACTGCCATTGTTTACATCAGGTATAATCTTTTAAGTTACATGAGCAAAACATTCGCTGGATGATGTTTAACAGTACACAAAACACAATCCCATATTCTTGATGATTTTTCTGCCTAACGAGTCCCTGAGAATACAAGTTATTTTGAAAACGTCAACATATATTATGTTGGTGAGTTCATAAGCATGTTTGATTGAAAAGTTTTGTATAGTTCGTAAAGCACCAGAAAATCCAATATTTTCTGTAAAGTGGTTTGAAAATGATGTGTCAAATCAAGTATTAATGCATGTGTGTTTACTGTTTTTGAAATGTATAAATAAACAAAAATGTAACCAAGATAGAAACCCTGTATTTTCTGTTGTAAGTGGAAGGTGATGTATAAATATATTTATCCCAGAAAATCCGATATTTTCTGCATATAAAAGTATCGTAATCATAAAATTTCCAAGACCGTGTATCGATGTATGTATGTTTTTAGTATCGTCTAGATTTGTATAAATATACCGAAATCTTTGATGAAGTTAGTCTCTAAGTGAGCCGTTACAACCATGCTTGATAATGATTAATTCGCCCGTCTTGACGTTTTCAGGCGCCAGTTTTGATACAGGTAAGGTTTGTCGTCTAAGACTGGCCTAGTCTAGCTGTAGCGAGCAGCTAAGGCGTGGGGGGTCACCCCGTATAGATCTATACACAATGTGACAACCGTCAATTTTTGGCCAAGTCAAAGTCAACTAAAGTCAACAAGTCAAACCGGTCAACTCA